ATTTAGTCATCAAATTGGTGGGGATATGAGTTGTGGATCCTCCCCCTGGAAGACACCGGGCAAGAGCTCACTTGACCCTTGTTTGCCCATCTCGGAAGTGTGGCTGCAGTTGTCATACTCTGTAGAGTTAAGTGACAAGTGGAAGTAGGATTAACCACATGGCTCCCTTTCTGCTCTGGGACCTGTCTGACCCGTGTGCCTAGAAAGGGACATGTACATCCAGCTCAGAGAACAAAGGACTTGAACCCATTCTCTGTCCACTCAAACAGGCCGGCTGAGCAGGGTCACCAGGCCAGTCCGGGTTCAGGGCCTCCTGGGTGGGGCCTCCAAACAGGTCACCCAGCAGGAGGAGGACAAGGTAGGTAAGGCTGCTGAGAATAGAGCGGTGCTCCAGAGTGAGCTCAGGGCAGCTTGGGCTCGCAACTCTTTGGGGCTCCCTGTGGCTGATAGAGGCAAGATTAGGCCCAAGGTGGGCGGGCCTCTTCCTCCTCAGCTCTGCAACAGGCACCTTTTGGCTTTCTACCCAGCCTTGGGGTTCATTCATCCGAAGAGGTCCATGCACAGGAGTGGGGGTGGGATGGGGAGGGGAGGGGGAATTCACAGAGCTGCAGAAAGAAACACACATGCATGAGCAGCACAATGGTATCAATTTCGACTTTGTGAAGTCCGGCTGCCTCTTCTAGACAAGACTAGGCCCCCTCCCATGGTCTCTGTGATGGCCCCTTTAGCCTGAAGACAACATCGCTTTTGAAGGACAAATAAAACAGAATGTGGAATGAGCCACTGCTATTTTACAACCAAGCCACTTCGCAAGCAGAGAATGCACAGAGGCAGCTAAGAGTGAGATTTGTTCAGAAGGAACAAATCCTTATTATTCATTTAGGTGGTTTTCCACATCAGAGCAGCAAGTTATCGCAGTTATTTAATTTCTTCCCATTGAGAACTGTTAGCTCTGATGTTATCTAAATGCATCTTTTAAGAGCATGCGGTAGGGCCTGGAGAAGCCCTTAGAGGGCAGGAAGAGCAGGCTCTGGGCATGAAGGCTAGCAGGGAGGTGGGGCTGTAGGGCTGGCTGGAAGCTGTGTGCTGCCAAGGTGAGAGGATCATTCTCCTCCGTGTGGACGCTTGCTCCCAAGAGCAGAGAGGCTGGAGAAAGGATGAGATTCCAGCAGCAGCCACTGCTTTCCGCAAAAGGGTCGTGGATGAGGAGAGCCCACCCTTGGAAGCCCCTTGGTGGCGGCTGCTCCACAAACTAGGTATAGCACAGGCACAGGGCTTCCTGCCTGTGCAGAGGCCCGGCCATCCCCAGGAGAGAACTGAGCTGGGAAGTACCTCCTCCAATGGACTGACCTCTCCAGGGAACACCGCCTTAGAAGCAGGAGCCCTGGTGGCTGGCGCAGTAGTTAGGAGCTCTGGGTACTAATCAGAAAGATCAAAGGTTCAAATTCACCAGCCAGCCCCTTCCCCCTCAGGGGAAAATGTGACAGTTGGCTCCCATAAAAATGACAGCCCTGGAGACCCTCTGGGCCAGTTCAACTCTGTCTAGGGCTCTGTCCTAGAGAGGAGACTCCGGCTGGGCTATGGGCTTGGGAATTTGCTTGCTTGTGTTTGCAGCTGGAAAATACCATTGGCGGTCAGGTGCACCGTTGTAGGACTTTTATTTTGGTGGGGGGAGGAGGGGCAGAGCAAACCTCTAATCCTCCCCTCTCTTGCATAACAAACCCAAGCACACAGTGGGGGGAAGTGGGGGCGGGGATGAGAGGCCCGGGCTACCAAAAGGCTGTTCCCAGGCTGCCTCCCTCAAAGTGTAAAGATCCAGAATGCAGGGTTTCCCATCTGAAGGCTGGGCCTAGCTAGAATTCCCGAACCTCAGCTGTGTCCTGAGCCCCCCAAATAAAAACGGAATGTTTGTTTTCTGCTGGGGCGAAGGGGGATGCCTGGCCCAGTGCAGCAGCAGTAGGTGCAGAAGCTAAAGCTCACAGTCCCACCCAAAAGCCACGTGACTGGCTGGCCTGAGCTGTCTACTTGTAACTAACAGCTCCCGTTTGGGGGTGACTGGACAGGGATGTACCAGAAGCATGAACAGGCTCAGGCTTCAGTGGATGGACAGAAGTAAGTACCCACTGACAGGAGAGGGAAGTCTCACCACCTGAATGCCCTGACACCTCTCACAGGCCTCCCAGCCCCGAAAGGGTCTTGCTCCACAGGGATCCCAGTGAGGCCTGTTGCCCAGGACCCAAGGACC